TTGGCCTGAAATTTTTTGTTCTTTGTGATTGTGAGAGAGGATAGGTGTTACACATGATTCTGTACTTGGCTAGTGATGTAGACATTCCCGGTAACGACGAACATGGATTCTCGGGGAGTGTAGTGAAGACCATCATGGCTCCGTGGATGAATAAGGGACACATTTTATACATGGATAATTACTATACAAGTCCCTTGCTAGCTCGGTTCTTGCTAGAAAATAGAACCGGATTGGTTGGTACAGTAAAGCCACAACGAAGGGAAATGCCTGTGTTTGACAACGACATTGCAGTTGGTGAGTGTCAGAGAAGGAAAAGTGATAACATTCTGTCAGTTCGGTGGAAAGACAAAAGAGAGGTGAACTTGTTGACAACAATTCATGATGGAACAATGGTGAACAGTGGGAAAGTGAACCATAAAACAAATGCACCACTATATAAGCCAGACTGTGTTTTAGACTATAATATCAACATGCAGTTGATTGATAAATCAGACATGATGATTGGCACTGCAGAGTGTGTGCGGAAGACATGTAGGTGGACCTGGTGTACTTGAGTGGAGTGATGGTGACGATTTTATTCCTAATATTCCTCACTTTGACGATAAAGATGTAGGGATTACAAACCTTTTCCCTAATCAAGGTGAGGACATGGCCGAGATGGAATATTTTACAGCATTCTATGATGAACCACTCATGGAATACATTGTACATCAAACGAACCTGCATGCTGCTTACCTGATTGAGAGGGAAATCACAGAATCTTCACGACTGCAGCGTTGGAAAAATACCACAGTTGCAGAAATGTATGTGTTTTTGGCACTCTGTTTGTTGATGAAGCACTGTCACAAACATGCAATAAGTGACTATTGGAGCAAGGACAAGACAATACCAACACCTTTATTTGGGAAATATATGTCACGAGACAGGTTTCAGATACTCGTCAGGTGTCTACATTTTGGAAGTGTTCAGGACCGAACACCTGATGATAGACTGTGGCGAGTGAGGCACTACATGAACGATGTTATTGGAAAATTCAGAGATTTTTACGTACCAGCACAAAAGCTGGTGGTTGATGAATCTCTTGTACTTTTCAAGGGACGTGTTCCATTCAAACAGTACATTCCCTCAAAACGAAACCGATTTGGCCTGAAATTTTTTGTTCTTTGTGATTGTGAGAGAGGATAGGTGTTACACATGATTCTGTACTTGGCTAGTGATGTAGACATTCCCGGTAACGACGAACATGGATTCTCGGGGAGTGTAGTGAAGACCATCATGGCTCCGTGGATGAATAAGGGACACATTTTATACATGGATAATTACTATACAAGTCCCTTGCTAGCTCGGTTCTTGCTAGAAAATAGAACCGGATTGGTTGGTACAGTAAAGCCACAACGAAGGGAAATGCCTGTGTTTGACAACGACATTGCAGTTGGTGAGTGTCAGAGAAGGAAAAGTGATAACATTCTGTCAGTTCGGTGGAAAGACAAAAGAGAGGTGAACTTGTTGACAACAATTCATGATGGAACAATGGTGAACAGTGGGAAAGTGAACCATAAAACAAATGCACCACTATATAAGCCAGACTGTGTTTTAGACTATAATATCAACATGCAGTTGATTGATAAATCAGACATGATGATTGGCACTGCAGAGTGTGTGCGGAAGACATGTAGGTGGACCTGGTGTACTTGAGTGGAGTGATGGTGACGATTTTATTCCTAATATTCCTCACTTTGACGATAAAGATGTAGGGATTACAAACCTTTTCCCTAATCAAGGTGAGGACATGGCCGAGATGGAATATTTTACAGCATTCTATGATGAACCACTCATGGAATACATTGTACATCAAACGAACCTGCATGCTGCTTACCTGATTGAGAGGGAAATCACAGAATCTTCACGACTGCAGCGTTGGAAAAATACCACAGTTGCAGAAATGTATGTGTTTTTGGCACTCTGTTTGTTGATGAAGCACTGTCACAAACATGCAATAAGTGACTATTGGAGCAAGGACAAGACAATACCAACACCTTTATTTGGGAAATATATGTCACGAGACAGGTTTCAGATACTCGTCAGGTGTCTACATTTTGGAAGTGTTCAGGACCGAACACCTGATGATAGACTGTGGCGAGTGAGGCACTACATGAACGATGTTATTGGAAAATTCAGAGATTTTTACGTACCAGCACAAAAGCTGGTGGTTGATGAATCTCTTGTACTTTTCAAGGGACGTGTTCCATTCAAACAGTACATTCCCTCAAAACGAAACCGATTTGGCCTGAAATTTTTTGTTCTTTGTGATTGTGAGAGAGGATAGGTGTTACACATGATTCTGTACTTGGCTAGTGATGTAGACATTCCCGGTAACGACGAACATGGATTCTCGGGGAGTGTAGTGAAGACCATCATGGCTCCGTGGATGAATAAGGGACACATTTTATACATGGATAATTACTATACAAGTCCCTTGCTAGCTCGGTTCTTGCTAGAAAATAGAACCGGATTGGTTGGTACAGTAAAGCCACAACGAAGGGAAATGCCTGTGTTTGACAACGACATTGCAGTTGGTGAGTGTCAGAGAAGGAAAAGTGATAACATTCTGTCAGTTCGGTGGAAAGACAAAAGAGAGGTGAACTTGTTGACAACAATTCATGATGGAACAATGGTGAACAGTGGGAAAGTGAACCATAAAACAAATGCACCACTATATAAGCCAGACTGTGTTTTAGACTATAATATCAACATGCAGTTGATTGATAAATCAGACATGATGATTGGCACTGCAGAGTGTGTGCGGAAGACATGTAGGTGGACCTGGTGTACTTGAGTGGAGTGATGGTGACGATTTTATTCCTAATATTCCTCACTTTGACGATAAAGATGTAGGGATTACAAACCTTTTCCCTAATCAAGGTGAGGACATGGCCGAGATGGAATATTTTACAGCATTCTATGATGAACCACTCATGGAATACATTGTACATCAAACGAACCTGCATGCTGCTTACCTGATTGAGAGGGAAATCACAGAATCTTCACGACTGCAGCGTTGGAAAAATACCACAGTTGCAGAAATGTATGTGTTTTTGGCACTCTGTTTGTTGATGAAGCACTGTCACAAACATGCAATAAGTGACTATTGGAGCAAGGACAAGACAATACCAACACCTTTATTTGGGAAATATATGTCACGAGACAGGTTTCAGATACTCGTCAGGTGTCTACATTTTGGAAGTGTTCAGGACCGAACACCTGATGATAGACTGTGGCGAGTGAGGCACTACATGAACGATGTTATTGGAAAATTCAGAGATTTTTACGTACCAGCACAAAAGCTGGTGGTTGATGAATCTCTTGTACTTTTCAAGGGACGTGTTCCATTCAAACAGTACATTCCCTCAAAACGAAACCGATTTGGCCTGAAATTTTTTGTTCTTTGTGATTGTGAGAGAGGATAGGTGTTACACATGATTCTGTACTTGGCTAGTGATGTAGACATTCCCGGTAACGACGAACATGGATTCTCGGGGAGTGTAGTGAAGACCATCATGGCTCCGTGGATGAATAAGGGACACATTTTATACATGGATAATTACTATACAAGTCCCTTGCTAGCTCGGTTCTTGCTAGAAAATAGAACCGGATTGGTTGGTACAGTAAAGCCACAACGAAGGGAAATGCCTGTGTTTGACAACGACATTGCAGTTGGTGAGTGTCAGAGAAGGAAAAGTGATAACATTCTGTCAGTTCGGTGGAAAGACAAAAGAGAGGTGAACTTGTTGACAACAATTCATGATGGAACAATGGTGAACAGTGGGAAAGTGAACCATAAAACAAATGCACCACTATATAAGCCAGACTGTGTTTTAGACTATAATATCAACATGCAGTTGATTGATAAATCAGACATGATGATTGGCACTGCAGAGTGTGTGCGGAAGACATGTAGGTGGATGAAGAAAGTGTTCTTCCATCTTGTGGACATGAGCATGCTGAACTGTTTCAACATGTACCTGGTGAGAACTGGACGTAAGCCCACTTTCCATGACTTTGTATTTGATGCTGCAATACAGTTATTAGGAAAGTTTGCAAAAGATGTCCCAGGTATTCAGTGGCCCATCATAAACCCACTGTTGCAGCATGCTGGTACTCCACGCCTCGCTCACACTGAAGGCTTCCTAGCACACAGACTCAAGTATTTGCCACCAGCTGGGAAGCGTGCAATAGCCCAACGTGATTGCTTGGTGTGTAAAACAACGACACGTAGAGACAAGAAACGGAAGCTTGTGCAAACATGGTGTGAAACGTGTGGTATCCCATTATGTGCTGTCGACTGCTTCAATGACTACCACAGTCTAGAAAACTTCTAAGTGTGCTTCAAAGTGTGTATAGCGTGTGCGAGTGTGTAAGTATGTAAAGATATAAGCAGATAGCGTGTGCGTGTGTGTAAATATATACAAATATAAGCAGAACATACAATATAATAGACTGTAATGACATATTATATTGCCGTAATTGAAAACATTTGTGTGCGCCTGTGTATACTCAAATATGCAACAATTATTGATACAAAATATGTTCAAACAGTATTTGTAACACAATTAGTGAAAAAAATTGGATAAAATGCGCCTAGACATTGTAAATAAATAGCACGAAAATATATTTGTGGCAACTCTGGCTGTTTGAGGACCGCGCCCAACACCTCTGGGGCGTGTACTGCATGAGCGAACATGCAGATTGTGACGTCATCACTGAGCTTTCCGGCTCTATTGCAACAAAAGTAAGTACAATAGAATTTTTTTTTTATTTTTCCCGTGATCAGTGAACAGAACTTAACAGATTAGCAAAAAAAATAAAAAATTTTTTTTTTCAAAATGACATGCGCCTGTGGGGATGGCAGGATATTAGACCCCGAGCATGTTAAGGGTTAATCTTTTTATTTGTGTTCCCTGAGCACGGGAAAAATAATAACAATTTTTAATTACACTCACCGTGGACGTAAACGAGCCGAGAAGATCGTCGATGATGTCACGCCTGATCTTTGCTGGACTGCTGTGCACACGGGGTGAGTCAGGCGCGACGGAGAAGTAGCGCGAGTTGCCGCGAATTTATTTTCGCGTTATTATTTACAGTATCTATGGGGTATTTTACACCCATTTTTTTAACTGGTGTGGTTCAATACGCTCTCACAAGATGATTTATAAACATAAAACTGTTGTCATTGTATATTGTATCCACATATTAGTGTCACAAGCATTTGCACAAAAATGTCTTATTTCACAATAAAATAAACAATTTCTTATGATTTATTTCCACTATATACACTCACTTATTCTGTATTTACATGTTTTGGCACCAGTCTTGGACATTTAGAAGTCATCAAGACTGTGATACTCGTTGAAACATCGGACATGGCACAGAGCGACCCGACACGCTGTGCACCAAGTCATCACCATTTTTCTTTTCTGTTCCCTCTTGGTTGTTGACCAGCATACTACACACGCACGCTGGCCTACTGCACGCTTTCCAGTTAGTGGTAAAAACTTGAGATTGTGTGTCAAAAAGGCATCCCTGTAAGCGAGCCTGGGTGTTGGAGCATGGTGCAATACTGGGTTCAGAATGGGCCTCTGTACACCAGGAATTACTTTGCCAAACTTCTGTAGTACAGTACAACCTCGATTCAACGTACTATATGGGACCGACCCCAGTTCATTGGATTCATTGCAAGAGGTGACCTTCAGGAGGCGTTTGCATCAGTGTCTTTATTTTTCTTGTAGACAATAAAAATGCATTATCATATTATATATTGTACCTATAAATTATTACTCTACTAACAAATACTGTGTTACATTTGTTATTTACCTTATTGCTGGAGTTAAGTCCATCTTGAAGTCTCATGGAGTTGTGAATGCTGTACAGTAAATACATACTGTAGTGTATTATGCCGTTAACACTGTGTTGAGTAGTTCTGCTGTATGTTGAGTATTACAATAAAGTTTATGAAAACTATTGTACACTAAAATTACTGCAACTTTAATTTTAACACTATATTTCGATTTGTTAAGAGGCTGGAGTGTTCATTCCGCGACTTTGTTGGACATATCTGTTGGAGTTATATCTGGTGAACAACTTTTATGTTCAAATGGCCAAATATCCAACAAAACACTGTAAATCCTGGTGAAGAATTGAGGCGGGATAGTCACTGGGTGCGAGGCACTAGTAAACTGAGCGGCGATCGCCGTGCCACTACGTGCTAGTCGGCCCGTATGCGTATCAACACCCTTCTATCCTGAGGCAACCCTCGTATCCCGATACAAATTTTCCGAGCAAATTCGGCTCATAACCCGAAAAACTCATAACCAGGAGTGCTGTAAGCAAGGGTCAAATTTGAAGCATGCCTGGAACACACTTTGGCCTGCAGCTGGTATGTTTCCCGACGATGACAACGACGACAGTGTTGCCGATTTTGAAGGATTTGGTGGAAAGAAAACAAACGTGATGATGAAATGTTAAAGGAATGAACAACATTTCTCCCAACATCCGAGAAATGAATTGATCACAGATTGAGGAAGAAGTGGATGCATGAATTGAGTGTGATCGAGATGTTCCAACTGCACCAAGCATGTCTGATGATGATGATATTAATTTGGTGACAGAAAATAACCAGGTGAATTTGCAGAATTTAGAAGATTCGTCAGAGGAGGAGGAGGAAGACAGACCATCTCAAGCGAGCATCACAGAGGTAGAGAAGAGCTTTGAAACCATTTTAAAGTTCATGGAAAGATCTTATGTCAATCCTCAGTCTGATGGTATAAAGATTTTACACAGTTTTCAAAAATGCAAAGAGATGGCTTGAGGCAATTAACACTAAAAGAGACGTTTGAGAGGGCTTCCAAGAGTGCAAGAACTGAAGCCTTGTGTGTACCTTCTCTGTGTAACCCTCAAACCTCAACATCTACCTCCACACTCAATTAACACCATACTCACCTATCCATCATTCCAAAATCAAATGTGGAGAAACATTTGGACACTTGGTGAGTACCCATAGTTATTGTTAGTATTATTACTGTACTGTACCAATATTTCTTGGTGTTTTGCTTGAAGTATCTAGTGAAACAGTAATGTATTGTTACGTACTTTTGAACATAAAATTATTATTTTTCGTACCTGAGGGGACTTCGACTACTAATCCAGACACGACTACATATCCAATCACAGATGGGCCCAAGGTGTCCAGAAAAAAATGCGTTGAAAGTAATCATAGGCAATGTATCGGACTGGAGAAATGTCACAAGTGGAGTACCGCAGGGTTCAGTTCGTGCACTGGTAATGTTCATTGTCTACATAAACGATCTACAAGATGGAAATGCAGAATTATACGAAAATGTTTGCTGATGATGCTAAGGTAGTAGGGAAGATAAGTAACTTAGATGATTGCCATGCCCTTCAAGAAGACCTGGACAAAATAATTATATGGAGATCCACTTGGCAAATGGAATTTAATGTAAATAAATTCCATATTATGGAATGTGGAATAGGAGAACATAGAATCCACCCAACCTATAAATAATGTCAGAAATCTTTAAAGAATTCTGATAAAGAAAGAGATCTAGGGGTTATCTTGAGATAATTTATCTTAAGAGATGATTTCGGAGCTTAGCATCCCCGTGGCTCGGTCCTCGACCAGGGCCTCCTTTTTGTTACACATCCCCAGGAAACAGCCCGGAGCAGCTGTCTAACTCCCAGGTATCTATTTACCACTAGGTAACAGGGGTATCAGGGTGAAAAACTTTTTGCCTATTTGCCTCCGTCTCCACCAGGGATCGAACCCCGAACCTCAGGACTACGAATCCGAAGTGCTGTCCACTCAGCTGCAGTGGATCTAGATAGAAAACAACTCAGCTGCAGTGGTTCTAGATAGAAAACAATCACCTGAGGATCACATAAAAAACATTGTGTGGGGAGCCTGTGATACACTTTCTAACTTCAGAATTGCTTTTAAATACATGGTTGGCGAAAATACTAAAGAAACTGTTCACGACTTTTGTTAGACCAAAGCTGGAATATGCATCGGTTGTATGGTTCCCATATCTTAACCACTGAACTGCGCCAACCGAGTATTCTTGGTTGGTGGCAAACTGCGCCAACCGAGTATTCTTGGTCGGTGGGAAACTGCGCCAATCGAGAAAACTCTTTTTTTAGTTTTTTGGTACCCATTCGAAATGCGCACATGGTTGGTTGTGAACGAGATGGATGCCTGAGGCCGTCAGTGAGCGGCGGCCATTTTGAGAAAAAAATTCCAGAATGCCCCAGGCCCAAAGGTAGCCTCGGTTCTGATCGAGCAACCATGGCCGACACATGCACTTCCAGCTCCCAGTCGCCTGTGGGACGCGCTGTTGCAAAACCGCTTTCTCCAGGGTAAATAATCAGATTATTGTTTGAAGATGAAGTGGAATATTATATTGATGACCCAAGGGTCGATAGAGACATAACACAAGGGTCCGATGGAAGTGAAACAGTTACAGATGAAGACGATACTGTGAATTCGTATCGTTCAGGGCGAGCAGCACGCACAGTGGAGCGTCACAGGTCATCACCCTTGCCAGTATTATTCCCACCACCACCACCTCCATCTCCTATTTTTGACGAAGGTGATACTATTGAGTCATTTTCTGGGTTTAGTGACGCTGCTTCTGATACAAGTAGCATAGATGAGCCAAGGCCTAGCAGCTGCTGTCGTCGCGGTGTTACCAGGCGCAGATCTGCTGTCTCGGCAGGTCGCCCTGCCAAGCACCACCCACCATGTATCCCTCATGACGACATTGACAACAGTGTTGCCTCTACACCTACTTTTATGCTCGCCCTACTAGTAGACAGGGTAGAAGTCCGCCAACTCCTCCCCAAATGAGATTTAGTGCAAGAAAGCACACCCATAGTGGAGTCGCTTGTGGCAGTGCTACAAGGAGAACGGGTGAATTTGTGTGGGAGGACTGTGATTTTTTGTACCACACAAACCTCAATTTGATGATAGGGATGTGGGGGTTGCACCCATGTTCTCGTACACAGCTGAAGACATGACGGAAATGGAATATTTTCTTGCATATTTTGATGAGCAGTTCATACAACATCTAGTTGCCGAAACCAACAGATATGCAGGGCAACTTATTGAAGGTGGAATATTACAGGGTTCACGTATGATATGTTGGAAGGACACCACCGTGGCTGAGCTATATGTGTTCTTTGCTCTATGTATGCTCCAAAAACATTCGGAGAAGCACGTCATACAGGATTATTGGAACAAAAGCTGCTGTTCCATAACCTGTGTTCAACAAATACATATCATAAGACAGATTCCTGATACTGCTACTGTGCCTACACTTTGAAAACCTTGAAAATTTTTATAGAAATGATCGACCTTGGTGAGTGCAAAAAGTGTTCAATGATCTCAGAGGGAAATTTCATGATTACTTTGTACCTGGAAAGAAATTTTTTTTTTTTTTGAGATATATACAAGAGTTGTTACATTCTTGTACAGCCACTAGTACGCGTAGCAATTCGGGCAGGTCCCTGGAATACGATTCCCGCTGCGAAGAATCGTTTTTATAACCGAGTACACATTTTACTGTTGAGTTAAACAGAGGTTACAGTTAAGGATTTGCGCCCAGTAAATCTATCCCTGCCAGGATACGAACCCACGACAAAGCGCTCGCGGAACGCCAGGCGAGAGTCTTACCACTACACCACAGAGACTGGTCATGTTGTCACTGATGAATCCCTAGGTCTTTTCAAGGGACGTCTTCTCTTCAAACAATACATCCCATCAAAACGGCACCGTTTTGCCCACAAATTTTTTCTACTGTACGACTGTGAAACCGGAATGGTGATCGATATGATATTATATTCTTGTACAGACATGGACATACCTGCTGAAGATCCTCATGGGTTTTCTGGCAGTGTAGTGAAGAAGATAATGGAACCCACTGCTGAACAAGGGGCACATTTTGTACACTGACAATTATTATACGAGCCCCTTGCTAACAAAGTTCTTGCTTGAACATAACATGTGGTGTGTGGCACTGTAAAGACAAATAGGAAAGAAATACCAGTTTTTGAAAATAATATTGGTGTTGGTGATTGTGAACTTAGAAAATGTGACAAAATATTAGCAGTGCGTTGCAAAGACAAACGTGAAGTCAATATGTTGTCAACTGTTCACACTGGTGAAATACTTGAAGTGGCAAAGTGAGGTATCGAGGTGATGGATCATTCTTCAAGCCAGGTTGTATCATTGACTACAATATAAATATGAGACTTGTAGATAAATGTGACATGATGGTTGGTGCCGTCGAGTGTGTCTGCAAAAGTGTAAAGTGGACAAGGAAATTCTTCTTTCATCTTGTGATTTGTTGTTGTTGTTTAAGATTCGCTACCTGGAACCAAAAGTTCTAAGCAGCACGGGCTATGGTGAGCCCGTACATCTTGTGAACATAACAGTGCTTAACTGTTTCAACATGTTTTTGATGAAAACAGGCAAAAAACCATCAATTCGAGTGTTTAGTCACGCTCCGCTGTCGCAATTACTCGTCAAGTATGGCCAGGAAGATATTG